ATATATATATATATAGTGCATTGTAACTACTTTAAGAAATGACATTTGCATTTGGTAGAAACAATTATGACTTTAGCGTTATTTTTTTTTTTCTTGTTTAAAAATATCATTATAAGTAAAATGTGTATATTAAATATTTAGGCGTGGCGTAGTCATTGGTGTGTTAGGCTGCAAATCGTGATGCGCAGGGCTAATATTTGTTTTTTGTGCATTCAGCCGATACCCGTGGTGGACAGAGCACAAATAGCCCATTGTGTAGCTTTGTGCTTAATTATAAACAAACAAAACTTAGTATATGGATTTAACCCTAACTGGCCAAACCTCGAGAGATACTGTTGGAATTACGGCCGAAAATATCGCTAACAGTGATGGTTCATTACAAATTTGTTTTTGTTACATTGCTTAAACACTAAGACTGGTGTATTTAATTTTTTATATTTATTACTGGGCTTATTTTCAGTTCGGTCATATGCAGGTAGTTTTCTTTGATCACAACTTATTGATAATAACGTCATAGATATTATCAAAAATATTTTAAACTAAAATACTTATAATCAGAGGTTATAAACTTTCATTGGTGTGAATTGGACTATAACGGGATCATACAACTTGAACATAATTTGATGTCCGATAGATGTCTCTGGCGTAAAATACTGTTAACTTCTCTTGAAACTTGAAAATTAGCGCTTGCTGCTAATTTTGAAAGAAACTTTTAATTTTCAGCTGGAATTTTGGAAAGCAAGCATTTTATGGGCTTTGAATTTAACAGGAAAAAAAAAGAAGATGCACCGTGTTTTATTATATTGATAGGCTACGGGTTGCCAATTCATAAATGTTACTAATCAGGAGAAGCGTCGTTCTATCTGCATTGCCACTCAGAGACTGCTGGAGGTCTTAGGTTTGTGTGTGTTTATTTGATTTGCACTTGTTACATCGTTCCTGGTTTTTTATTGTTTTTTTGTTTTGTAAATACTTCTTATAAACGTGTAAGCTCAGTGGATTTTATGCTTTATTTCCCAAAGACCCTAAAAGAGCTACTGAAAAATATTGTGAGAAAAACAAAATCTGCTTGTGGTTAGAGAAATGTATGTTACAAAAAGTACGTGGAGAGCATGGACAGGTTCCATGATCCCAGTATTGTAGAATATAAATATATTGTGTGATGTGATATTTCTAACACCTGGAAGTTTATGTTCGTGAAATGATTACTTTTCAGCTTATTTTCATTACAAAATATGAAGACGAGTGGGTCTGGCATGGCCAAGTGGTTAAGGCACTCGACTCGCAATCTGAGGGTCGCGGGTTCGAATCTCCCGTCCCACGGCTTGCCCTTTCAGCCGTGGCGGCATTATAATGTGACGGTCAATCCCACTATTCATTGGTAAAAGAGTAGCCTAAGAGTTGGTCTTTCACTGCTAATTTAGGGACGGCTAGCACACGCCATGAGTTCCTGAGTTTATATAATCCTGACAGTGCAAATGATTGACGTGGGATGTGTACGTAAAGGATTTTTTTAGATTACATATTATAAGTTGTTGCGTTGAGTATCAGCGATATTAAAATAATGTTGGTCTCAGCTAAAGAATCAACTTGACGTTGGTAAAACTTAGTAATATCAGCTCTTGCGGATGATTTAGTGTAGTTAATTGCTGTAACGGATAATTTTAATTCACTTCTATTAATTATTATAAACGTTAGTATCTCCCCACCCCCCGAAACATCAATCTGCCTAGCTAGTTGAGATCTAGAAAAACGTTATTTATAAAAGTTGTTACATAGAAAAAAAAATACTCGAATAATTTAATTTATTTATTTCTGTTCAGTTTATGCAAAAGTAATTTATAAAGAGTTTATTAGGGACCATACAGGATTTGACAAAGTTCTGTTAAATTTTTCTTCTTTTTGCAAGCCGTGTTTTACTGTAACCATGCGCACATACAGGGTAACCCTAAAGGTATGTGTGTGTGTGTGTTTAGGGGACTGTCTAGTCTAGTGCATTGTCTGTGATATATGTATGCTCTTCTTCAGATGACGCTGCGAAATAATTTAGGTCAGTCTGTACTATGAAAAGTGCCCCTCCTTTTACTGGAAACGTGTTCTGGATGATACGCAGGAAGCATACGCCATGAGTATAAATCACTGACGTATATATTGCGGCCAAAGCCTATGGCGGAAATGTATATATAATCGTTGTTCTTTACAATGTCATAATCTCCTGAAAACTACATATAGGTTCCACATTTTAGACACGCTAAATGGCCTCCATACGGATTGTATAATTTGTGGGTGGCATATATTACAAATGTAAATAACCTGCAATAGCAGAGTGTGACAGGAACATCTATAAATGTGTTTATTGGCACCAATAAGAAAAACTCTTATGATTAACGACGCGACCACTGATACTGTGTTGAGTACATTTCAGTTTCTCGACTCGCTTACTTATATAACATTTTTTTGTTTTCAGGTTTAAGTCTAAACATAGAGGAATAAATACGAAGCGAACTCATTTTGTATTTGAATTAACACATACGATCATGATGTTAATAATCACAAGTACAAGAAATTATAGCTATAGTCTTTCCACCTGGTTAGTTAGCATTGTGGTTAGTTTGTTTGTTTTAGCTCAAAACTACACAGGCTATCTTGCGTTCTGTCCACCACGGGGAATCCTTAAACTTACGGCCCGGCATGGCCAGGTGGTTAGGGCACTCGACTCGAAATCTCAGGGTCACGGGTTCGAATCCCTGTCCCACCTAACATGCTCGCCCTTTCAGCCGTGGGGGCGTTATAATGTGACGGTCAATCCCACTGTTCGTTGGTAAAAGAGTTGGCGGTGGGTGGTGATGACTAGCTGCCTTCCCTCTAGTCTTACACGGCTAAATTAAGGACGGCTAGCGCAGATAACCCTCGTGTAGCTTTGCGCGAAATTCAAAAAACAAACCGTTAAATTGGGAGTCAGATATTTTTCTGTATGTCGCTGTTTTTTGTTGATGATTCTTTTTTTTTTTTCAAGACAAACCATCAGACTTGCATAACGATACTGAATTAATGTAAAGGGAACTCGTTTCCCGATAGACTTCTGAAGTTAGTTAGTTTGTTTGTTTATTTTTAAGTGCAGACTACATAATGGGCTATCTGCGCTTCTCCTATCATGGGTATTGAAACTCAGTTTTTAGTGTATAAACCTTCAAGCCTCGGCCCGGCATGACCAGGTGGTTAGGGCGCTCGACTCGCAATCTTTGGGTCGCGGGTCCGAATCCCCGTCACACCAAACATGTTCGCCCTTTCAGCCGCGGGGGTGTTATAATGTAGCGGTCAATCCCACTATTCGTTGGTAAAAGAGTAGCCCAAGAGTTGGCGGTGGGTAGTGATGACTAGCTGCCTTCCCTCTAGTCTTTCACTGCTAAATTAGGGAGGGCTAGCGCAGATAGCCCTCGAGTAGCTTTGCGCTAAATTCCACGGAACAAACAAATCAAAACTGGTAAAATCTTCAACAGCGCAAAAATATTGTCCGCAAAGTTCGTAAGAAAAAACAAACAAACACACTGAGGTATAGCAAGTAAAGAATAAGATTTTTAAAAATACATATCTTTGTTTACTGTTAAGCATAGTTTTTCACAATGAACTCTATGTGTACCCACAGGGTAATCGAGCCCCGAATTTTAATCTTATTGAGCCATCGAACTGCAGCCTTGGAGATAATATAGCTTATAAAATGTTAAGGTCGGCTAGTAGTTTTGTCTTTTTACAATAATTTGTTTGTCGGACTCTTCTTTCGTGTTAACGATGAGCTATTTTCTCTATTTCAAGTCGTGATATATTGAACTTGGCTCTTATCTGTATATCCCAGTTCTATATAGATTTTACAACATGCTAAATATCTCATATCAACATTATTCCTTAATATAAATTAATTTTCAAAGTGAATTGTGGTTAGCCAGATATACTGTTTAAAGAAAACCTATGGATTGTTATTCTTTGTGTATGGATCCCTATTACGAAATGCTCAGCTTTTCAGCTTGGCGATCATCATTTTAACGTTATAAACCTATAACTGTAACATTCCAAATATTTATTTTAAGGTGATCTTTCCGTATTTAAAATAAGCAACAGTAAGTGAAGAACTGGTAAGTTTAGTGGTGTGTGTTATATCCAACTATATTATACAGTAATAACATGAACTACCGAGGTTTTAATATTCATAATGTTAAATATTTCTGTTTCTACTAGACATCGACGAATGCCTGAAGAAGGATGAAAAGTGTGCACAGAGATGTATAAACATCCCGGGAAGCTACAGCTGCGAATGTCATAAAGGATTTACTTTACAGAACGACGGAAAGTCTTGTAAAAGTAAAGTATTCATTTTGATTTATCTTTACTAAGCCTAACTTAATTTCAGAGATACCTTAAACATACTGTCTTTTCTTCGAACGTATTTTTAGTCTGATTAACTTGTTTGATAACATTTGTATTTAAAATAATACAAAAAACAAATAAAATCTGCTGACTTTATTAACTTTTTGTACAAATTCTAATTCGACGAGAAAATAATTCACGTATTTGATAAGTATTCCCACTACCAAATTCGGATTTATATAAACTTTGACGAAACTTTTTAATTTAAACAAATTTAGAGAATAGCTTTACATCAGTCAAGCCAATATATCCAGCTATACATATGTATGTATATATATGTGCACATACATATGACCACACAGAGTTATAAAAATAGGATACATTTGAATTTCTAACTGTGCAAATTGGTTCTAAATAAGTGTAAACAAGCTTTATAGTTGCTCTAACATTCCACTATAACATTTTTATGAATGTTGTTTGTATATGTATTACTTAATATTTACGTCTAATTACAAGAATAACTCAATAATAAACTCTTCAGACAAAATAATTCCCACCCAACTGGTAACGTGAGGTACAGAAGTGGGGTTAACTCTGAATTTTACTTTGAATTGTAAAAGAATGTATTCTTGACTCGAACAAATAACCAATAAGTTTATTAACGTAATACTAATAATTCTTCCTTAAAAGAACCTCAAAATCATGACATTAGCTTGGGGTATAATGATCAGAGGATTTGATTTATTTGTTTAAGGGCCTTCAATAACTGATGTTAATGGATGCTTCACTCCAAACATTGTTTTCACATCAATTTACATGTTTCACAAAAAGACAGCAATAAGTTATATTTTCACAAAAAGCTGATAGTTTAGCCACGGGCGTACCTAAAGTATTTGGCACCCGGGGCGGACCTTTCCTTTGGCACCCCCCCCCCATAAGTAATTTTAAAAT